AGTGCTCTGCTGTAAACTAATTAACCAAACCAATCTTTCTTCCTTCTGGACAAATTGCCTCTTTGGACTATTAATATGAAAACAAATGTAACAACAAAATGCAGGGTTTGGGAGGGGTGGATTATTTTCTTCCAAAATTAGTATAATTGTGTTCAAAACAGAAGTCGCATTATAAAAAGCAAAAGTCAAGCCAGAGAATTAAATTATTTCATTTTCATAATTACCAGAAATATATATTAATATTTTATAGTATACGCTTGCCAGGAGCGGATTTACAGAACGCGATTTCACATATACGTGTATCATAGTTATTTCTACTATTTAATTTGTCCAGCCACTAGAACGTCATTCATACGCGGTTCAACGTTCTTTCATCAACACTCAATGCTTGCTTGCATCTGCTCTAGTCAGAAGTTACCAATAATTTTAATGAATTTCCCTCGACTAAAAATGAAACCAAAGAATTCGTATAAATTGCAGAAAACAACTGGCAAAGAAGAGAAGAAATAATCAAAGAATCATCGAATCAATAATCGAAGATTTAATCCAGAAACTCTGAATGAAGAATTAGGAAGATTTTGCAACATCAGCCAACAGCGAAAGCAATGGAAATGAAAAAGAAAATAGATGCCTTTAACTTACAAGAAGTTAAAGAATTACCGAAAAAGGCGTCTGACTTTGCGAAGCAGATTGATTATGAAGAAAGATTGGTTTGGTTAATTAGTTACAGCAGAGCACTTAAGGTCTGGCTATGGGGAAGGATGCCGTCGTGGAGGACTTTCTAAAGGAAACAGGCTCGTATACTCGTTACACATGGGAAAAGCCCCGAAAACGCTCACGCAGCTAACCCGTTTGCGGTATTCGAGCCTAGGACCGAACCACCAGTGTTCAATGACTTCACCTCTCGGCTGCTATTGGGTCGATCGAAATGACGAAAGAAGAAGAAATTTGATGAGATACAATGAAAAGTTATGCGCTTATTACGGAAAACTGTTAAAGAGTTGTGTTAGTTATTCTCCCCAACCAAAAATTACTAGCTTTCTAAAAAAGAAGAATCGCTATATCACATACCTATTAGGCAGTTATAAAAATCTTTTTAATTAACATACACTCAGACAAAAAAAAAAAAAAAAAAAAAAAAAAACGCACCAAGAAGGAGTTATCCGAATGGGACGAAAATCGGTAGAAGTGATGTACATGTACAAAAAAACAAATGATTACAGTTTGAGAAAAATTGGATGATTTATTGAAGTGATAGAGCTTTATAAAGTGAAAAAGTCAGAAACGTGTTTGTCCTCCTCTGGCCCTTATGCAAACAGATATTCGGTTTAACATAGATTGACAGAGTTTGCGGATGTCCTCCTGAGAAATATCGGGCCAAATTCTGTCCAACTGGCGCGTTGGATCGTCAACATCCCGAGCTGGTTGGAGGGCTCTGCCCATAATCCTCCAAACTTGCTCAATAGGAGAGAGATCTGGCGACCTTGCTGGCCAAGATAATGTTCGGCAAGCACTAGGGCAAGCAGTAGAACCATCTGCAGTGGGGGAGGCGGGCATTATCTTGCTGAAATGTAAGCCTAAGGTGGAGTGACATGAAGGACAACACAACGGGCTTTAGAACTTCGTCGACGTACCCCTGTGCTGTATGGCTGCGACGGATGACAAGCATATGGGGCCTACTATGAAATGAAATGGCCCCCCAGACCATCACTCCTGGTTGTCGGCCTGTCTGCCGGAAGACAGTCAGATTAGTATCACACCGCTGTCCTGGGCGTCTCCAGACTCGACTTCGCTGGTCATCGGGGCTCAGTTCAAAGCGAGACTCATCACGGAAGACTATTGTACTCTAGTCAGCGACATTCCAGTGCTAATGAGCGCAACACCACTGCAAACGGGTTTGACGTTGTACAGAGGTCAATGGTTGTCGGCGCAAGGGGCGCCGTGACCTCAGCCCTTTTTCTGTGAGCCGTCTATGAATGGTCCTTGCGGTCACTGAAGCACTAGTTGCACGTACAATCGATGATAATGATGCATCTGGGGCTGTGAATGCCGCTCTGACGATTGCTCGGTCTTCACGTTCTGTCGTTTCTCTAGGCCTACCGCTTCCTTCTTGACGCTCTGTGCGGCCATGGTTCACCCATTCCTGACAACATCGTCTAATAGTAGTATCCTTCTTGCTCAAATGTCGAGGTATTCGCAGATAAGACTAACCGGCTTCTTTAAGTCCAACTACACGACATCCCTCAAATTCTGACATCTGCGCATATCGTTCGCGCACCTGTATGCGAGGCATAGTTGCTGTCTACCAGAGTACACGGAATGAAATTCGCGAAGAATTTATGATCTGGAATCGTAATTTCTTCTCTTAAATATCCTGCCAGTTGCGCAGATCAGATCCGCTGTAGCGACAACCGTTCATGCGTTGGCAGCCAAAATGTAAAATTTTGCATTTTCCGTCGAAACCTGTATGCATATCAATTTGTGTCTAATTTGCTTTATATCTTCTCGGTGCGTCGTGGGGGTTCTTTTTTTTTTTTTTTTTTTTTTCTTCTAAGAGTGTATGTTTCGTTTCTTTGGTTAAATTATACGTTTTTCCTTCATTTTCCTTGAATTATACAATTACCTAACATATTTTTCATAGAATGTTAACTTTGCAGAACGCTATTCTGACGTACGCGCGATTTATTGATGATGAAGCTCTGCGTTCGGCAAGAGTTTACAATAATTAATCCAATAAATAAATGATTGGTATATGAAATAAATGACTGATATACGAATGAATGAATTATCAATATATTAATTACTGTTTTATTATAGAAATAATAATTAATTGTTGATAATAAAATGAATAATTGATCTATTAATTAATTTTTGCTAACGGTTACAGCCGAAAACATCGCAAACGTTGCGGAGAAAACAACGCAAGGCGAAAACGTCGTGGCACAAAATCTCGTGGTCGAAAATAAAGCGGTTCGAAAACTTAGCAGTTTAAAAACAATCATAAAAATATCGCGGTAAAAAATAAAGCACCTACAAATCATCGTATGATTTGTACTCGTGCGTTTTTCAAAGCCCATACTGACATACTATGTAACTGACTTTCGTCATAACTAACAAATCCAAAAATTTGATTGCACGCTATACATGAAAATGTTAACGACACTTTAAGAGTAAATGGAAACAAAAAAATATATAATTTTCCTTACAACTATATCAGATTAACAAATGTGAAAGAAAATAAGTTAATCATTAACTAAGCAATTTTTATAGAGGTAAACTCATGCAGTTATTTAGCTTTCTTTTCTAAGCATTTTAGACTGTATTTTTCATACAAAATAGCAGTAAAACTTTATAAAAAAATCTGATGTGTACACCACATGACTTCCTTGTACGGAATATTAAATTATACGCATTTTTTCTTGCATTTCGTTTAAACTTATTGGATTTAATTAAATCTACTTCGCCGACAGCGCATAAACCACAATAGAATAATGCAATTTTTAAAATTCACTCTATTTGTTTACCATAGCGACACTCTGGCGCTAGGTTCACTTAACAGTATTATATTTCGGTCATATTATAACTCAGAATGCACAAAATTTATATCATTTAAAGAATTATCTAATCGTTTCCACATTCAAATACTATAATAAAGCTAGAACGATGTATAAAAGAAATTAAGCAAACAAAACAAAAGAAACAGTTTTTCACAGACGATTGAGTATTTCTCATTCAATTAATTCAGTTCTCACTTCGCGACAAGACAAAAATAAATAAAAACTCAAAATATCTGTATTAAAAATTACTAATTGTTAAAAATTAATAAATCTTAAACACTTATTTCCTCGAAAAAAATCCAGAAAGGATTAAGCATGATTTAAATCGCGATAATAAATGAAGGCGTTATCTTTGTTGTTGCGAAGCTACGTTTCTCTAGATTGGTGACAAATTCACTACTCAGTTGTTTCAAATGTAGATCAGTGGAAACGGGTTCTTTGGAGTGACGAATCAAGGTTCACCCTTTACCGTTCGGATGGCAGGGTCTGGTTCTGACATCTACCTGGAGAACGTCTCCTGCCAGAATGCATTGTGCCAACAGTCAAGTTCGGCGGAGGTGGAATTATGGTCTGGGGGTGTTTCTCCTGGTATGGGCTGGGACCCTTGGTCCCCATTTATGGTAAGCTCACCTCCGATGCCTACTGCATTATTTTGGATGACAATGTGCTTCCTACGTTGTGGTAGTTTTACGGTTTGGACCCCTGTTACTTTCAGGACGACAATGCCAGTTGTCATGTTTCGACGTTAACCAAGCCTTGGTATGGTGCCAATGGAGTTCATCGAATGAACTGGCCTGCTCAGAGTCCAGACCTGTACCCTATCGAGAACCTCTGGGAGAGTTGCATCGCCGAATTCAGGGGTGCACTATCCGTGCAAAATCGGTGAAGGAACTTCTATGTCTTCTCCAAGCCGAGTGGGAGAAAATACCACTAGCTGTCATACAAAGACTTGTGGAAAGTATGCCCCGGAGGGTCCACGCTGTAATTACCTCTCGTGGAGGCTCTACCAACTATTGATTTTGAATAAAGTTAGTTTTTCTTTTCTATCACCAGGTGTCCAAATACTTATTAGTAGTCAGTGTAGTAGTCCTATATACAAAATTTCAACGTTCTGAGGCTACTCGTTTTTGAGTTATGCGAGATACGTACGTTTGTACAGACGTCACGAAACGACTTTTGTTGTTGTTTGTCAATTTGTTTACAGTTCCAAAACTTTGTGTTAATTTACATATAATTTGACCTTCCGAGCCATATGAAAATGATCAGTTGAAAATGTTCTAATTTTTTTCGATCTCAATAAGACATTTTGATTCTTCTATGATTTTCTTTCGACTCACAGTATTTCTTTAATTTTTAATTTACAAATGCATTGTGTTTATTTAGAAGAACTCATCATGTTTAGTCGAATCCTCGTTTAATTTAAACTTATTTTTTCCTTTCTAGGAAGGATAATTCATCATCAAGAAAGTGACCTCCTTTGGCGATTGGGTCTCATAAGTCCAGAAGCTTACAAAATTACAACAGGAACGAGGTATGACCTTCTGTAACTCTTACTGAGTTTCTTTAAATCATATTTGTCACAGCGTTCGAACTTTATATAAGAAATAAATTACGCAGCTGGTGCTCAATTTCATTACGCTGAAAATAAATAAATCTCACCAAGTCTTTTTGTATATTTCACCAGTGTTCATTAAATTGTTTTCTGCTAGTACCGTATATCTGGAAGATTCATCTGGCGTCATCTGGAAGATTTACATGGACGTACTCATAGGCGTTAGCCACATGTTTTGCCTTCCAGGGCGATCCATTTACTGCTTCTGTCAATGCACAGCAAAAATATATAATATGACTATAATATGACAGTATTCTTGAACATTATAATTTACATAATTTTAATAACATAGAAATAAACGTGCTTGATATTGTTCCAAACACCAAACTTAGACTGTTTAAGGAATCGATTTACATACTTCAAAAAAGTCACTCTATCCTTACGGACTGAATGCATTTCTTAGTAATACCACCAATAGACAGCAAGAAATCTCTATATATGGACAATTCAGATTTTTTAGCACTACTACTACCAGAGGATCTAGAGGAGGTGATACCAAAAACAAAAAATTTTTTTCATCACAAGATCTGAAATTAATTATTCACAATCTTAATTCCTACCTTGAAAATAAAGAATTCGCAAAAAATGCCATAAAACTTCTTCATACCTTTAAGAATACTACCTTATGGAATCTGATTAAAACAGTAAATCAACCTTCTCAATGCTTCAAAATAGTCAAGGATCTGATTATAGACTTCTGCAATTTTAAACTAAAGAACAGTAATTTTTTTCACAAAAAACTTTTTTGTACTATTCAGTTCAAACACCCTTCTTACGATAAGTTAAAAATTCCTAGCATTTTAAAAAAATTTCAGCACTTGCTTCCTGACCAACCACTTCAAATTAAACCCTGTTTTAAATTTGAAAAAACCTTAGGTCAACTAGTTATCAACCACCACGTTATACAAGATAATAGCAAATGTAATTGCCAAGGTGACTGTCTACAAAAAATATGTCGATCGTTTCCACCAACATGTTATTACTGGAGATCTTAATATCATTGAAGATGTAGAATTACGTACCCTATTGCAACTTGGCACCAAATTTCGTCCTACTTTCGGTATTAATAAACACGTCTGCCTCAAACAATTCAATAATGATCTTGATAAATTTATTATTTTAGCTAGTAATAGATCCAATTTACCCACTACAACTTTTCTTGAATGGAAAGCTGCACTTATTAAAGAATTTCAACGTTTGCTGTTCAAGTCACGTTTTTTCAACTCTTTACACAATAAAAAACGTCTAGAGGATCTAATTCAAAAATTGCAAGATCACTTTATCATCACGAAGATTGACAAAGCAAGCAACAATTTTAGTGTTATTTGACAACAATTCTACTTCAACCTTCTGCATAAAGAGTTAAATAACACCTGCACTTACCAAAAAATCACTACCAGTACTAAGATTCTTCTCAATAAATTTAAAGCACTCCATAAAAGACTAAAAATACAACCCCAGAAATATAACAACAGGTTTGCCAATCTCTATGCCTTACCAAAATTTCATAAGTCTCCAATAAAATTCAGGTTCATAGCTAATAGTACCAAAAGTTATCTCAAAGAAATAGATTATCTCTTTGCACAAAAACTTCGTATGATACGTGACCTAATTAATAACTATGATTTTGAGGGTCTGCATTGCAACTGGATGATCTCTAGTAACGAACTAGTTCTTAAAACTATGAATTCACTTAAAATAGACCATATCCAATGCTACGACTTTGAAAACCTCTATACTTCTCTACCACTTGAAGAAATTTTTACAAGTTTACTAGCTCTTCCAGATTTATTTCCGCAAATTTCTACCATTCTCAGCAACGAAAAATGGCAACTATTCCTCTCCAGCGTGCTCTTCAATAATTTTATTCAATTTGACAATAGCATCTATAAACAAGTACAGGGAATCCCAATGGGCGGTAATTTTTCAAGCTCTGTCTGTGAATTATTCCTTTTTACAAAAGAATTGACCTATGTCCGTTCACTCAGTACAGAAGAACGTATGTTTTACCAACACATCTATAGATATATTGATGATGTCATTGCATTTAATAACTACAACAAAATAGAAGTAGCTAATATCTACCCTGCATGCTTAATACTAAATAAAACAAATACAGAACAGCATAATGTAGTCTACCTTGATTTACATATTGTAGATTACAATTTTATTAAAGTTTACGACAAAAGAAGAGAATTTAATTTTTCCACACTTAAATTAACTTACTGGAATTCAAATATTTCCAAAAGAGTCGTATTTAACACAATTTATTCACAGCTACTCAGAATAAAAAGAATCTGCAATACTGCGAAACACTTACAAGAAGAAATACTATACTTCGTAACTATATTGAAAAGTAACCTAATTCCTCATAAAATAATTAAAAATACCCTAAAAAAGCTGGCATTAGCCTTACCTATTTTTAGATTTTTTGAATTAGATAATGATATTTTATGCCTAAAGCCCGAAGGACGGTTTAAGATGGATGACTGATTCAGAGAATCTAATGTAAAAATGTACAGATAATTCTTGTTTATTCATTCTCTTTCCTCCAAAATTTTGGCACTTTACTTTTAAATACTATTGTTTAAATAGTTTTAAATTTCTATAATGGCCAATTTTACTGCTTTTATTAACAAATCGGGCCTTTTCGTTTTTCATAGTAGCTTGATCGCCCGCTAGCTTGAAGAATTACGACTTTTTTAACAAATGATTGTTTTTTCCTTTTACTCTTGCTTTTGTGGGCAAGTTTTGTAGTTTTAGCTGAATTAGCCATTTTCACTTTCAGTCACAATTTTTTCTTCCAACTACATGTCAGTCGCCATTTTGAAATCTTTTCACGTTTTTTCGAGTTTTCCGACCCCCTTCGATAATAGGAGACGAGTTGCAGCTAACGGACAATCTGATGATGCCCACAGAACATCGCTCCCCCTACATACGTCACACGACTGAAGTACACAGAAGGGAATTACAACTACTTTTCAACATAGTTTTAAGAGGGAGATCTCTGCATCGCCACAGGTCAGTTTTTTGTTTCTTTTGTTACAACTTTTTCTTGGTCTTAGCAAGACCCACTTTGTTGGTTTTCATCTTAATTTTCTTTTATTTTAATTGCAGATTTCTAAAATATATAAAATTATAAATCTTTAAGCTTGCAGGCCCAGCCCGTATGTTTTTGTATATTTAGGACTAATAGCAGACCGCTATTTATTTTTGTTTTTATTTTTATTTTGATTTTGATTTTAGTCTAGATTTAAGATGTATCGGAATCGTTTTTACATATTTTAACACCTTAATGTGTCATTTTGTGCGGACGCATCGGGAAATTGGAACAGAGAATTGAGACTATTAAAATCTTCCAAGACACTTTGTCTAAATTAAAAAAATTTGTAGCGAAAAAGTTTCAATTGTCTGTTTCGGCGAAACGCGTAATGGGGTTAGCTTGATTCGACGTTCAAACAAATAAATTTTCCCTTGAAAAGCTAGTTTGGAAGTCGATTTGGGCTAATTTACCATTTTCTTACCATTACTTTTTTTATCTGATTTTGTTTTTTAATGTTTTACATGTTAAATGGTTTGATTTTCATATGTATTAATTTTTTTTTTTAAACGTGTTGAACTTTTTGGAGCAACAGCTCCTGGTAACTTTTAGGCGAGCTTACTACAATTTCTAATTTACTTATTTTGCAGCATATTGCGCAAGATGTTTTTTAGACCAAATTGGTCATTCAGTATTGTAATTACTACCTTGCTTGATATGACAAAATGACATATAGACAAATAAAAAAAGCTCTACATTTATTTTTGAAATAAAACTTTAATTCCAACCTTCTATACTACCATTTTACTTATTTTTCTATTAGAAAAATCGCCCACCAGCGGTCGAGCGGCAGATTCGCTGAACACTGGTAGTTCGGTCCGAGGTTCGAATCCCGCGAAACGGCTGCTTTCGTGGTTTTCCCCGTGTTTAATGCCTATATGAGCCAGTTTCTCTTAGAACGTCCTCCACGAAAGCATCCATCCCTTTAGGCAGATAGTGTGTCTTCGAGTGTTTTGCCGTAGTCAAATGAACTAAACCAAACTAGTAGCAAAATCGTCGATGACATTCTTGAAGTTTGTTTCACTGTATTTATACAAAATCCTTGCATAACAAATAACATTTAAAGCATTTGTGCTGAAAATTCGCTGTACTATTACAATATATGGAACTGTATTCTGGACATTGTAGTTTGGAATCAGCTGTAGAAACGACCGTTCTTTTGCCTTTCAACTTCGTCTTCCCTTTCAATAACTGAAAAAAAAAAAAAAAAAAAACTTCTCTCTCCATGAGATACTTTTGCTTAATTATGTATGTTTTCGAATATAAGCCGATCCGTGAATAAAACGAAAATGAGTTTTTCTTCAAATATTTACCCAAAATTAAAAACCCGCACAGAAGCCAAAATAAAAATTCCTATTATTCAGACATGTCGCCACGCGGGCGAAATTGTAGCTAAGCAGGTAAAACGACTAGTTTATTTTTCAATCAAATCGCTAAAATGTAAAACGCCAACAATGATAGCTGTAACTCTGGCAACCCTATCTAAAACTAACACATTCCCCCCCCCCTTTCATTTGGCTGTTGCATTGCATACGACCTGTGGTATCTGTGCTTAAAGAATTTATAAGGTGAAAATATTTTATATTTTGTCTAAAAATTCAGAGGGAAGAGAAGTCATTTAAACGACAAATTCCAAACCGCAGATGATAGCATTTTGCTCGGCATTTTTCCTTAAACGGAAAACTAGTTTAAGAGTCTAGACAGCGGGGTGCAAATTTCGTTAACATCATATTTTTGGTTTTGGACACGACGCACTAAACCGTCATCATAAAAGATTTGGAAATAAAAATCTCCTTTTCATAAAATGAATATAATTTAA